AATATGGTGCTTCTGCACTCCAGCCTGGATAACAGAGCAAGACTCCATCTCAAAATACACACACACACACACAGAGCTGAGCCTGGCGCAGTGGATCACACCTATAGTCCCAGCCCTCTGGGAGGCTGAGGCAGGAGGCTTGACTGAGACCAGGAGTTCAAGGCCATCCTAAGCAACATAAGGAGACTATCTCTAAAAACAAACAAACAAACAAACAAACAAAACCACAGCACTAGGCAACCCACTGAAACTCCTGGAGCCTCTGTTTCCTGGTGAGTTAAATGGAGTTGATAAGACTTTCTCACAAGGTTGCCATGAGGATGAAATGACAAACATGTTCGGCTCAGCGTATGAAATGCAGCTTATGCTTAACACACGGCAGCTGTGGGAGCTGGGGCTCACACAGGGATGTCTCTGGGATGGGGCCACCAGACTCCCATCCCTCCCACACAGGGCACAGCAAGCACACGCTCCTGGTGTGGTGCCTCGGACGCCAGCCGTCAGTCGAGATACCTGGAACCGGCCATGCCTGTCCTTTCCTAACTGTGTGACACTGGGCAAGTCACCTCCCCTCCAAGCCCTCCATTTCATCATCCGTAAAATGAAGGGACTATACTTCCTTTTTTGGCAGTAAAAACAGAATCCTTTCTTCAAACAAAATCTTATTATATGTCAACATCACATATAAAACTAATAAAGACAGTCCATTAGCATAATCTGAGAAAGTCTAAAAATTTTAACATTCACTTATAAAGTCAACCATAGGAAACAATAGGTTTAACACAAAAATTGGGAAAACAGGATTGGCGTGGACAGGTGCAGCCATGTCATAACCTGGGCACTCCTTGGTTTCTGCAGCATTTGGTTGCAGAACTGAAAAGGTCCTGGCAGGACATGTTCTCTTGAAGGGTCTCACAAAACAGGGTTACTGTGGCAGCTGAAGGTACACACAGAAGGCCTCTGATTAGGTTTAAGCTCTGACTCATAGTGATTTAAGAGTGTGGGTATTTTCTTTTTTTTTGAGACAGATTCTTACTCTGTTGCCCAGGCTGGAGTGCAGTGGCACGATCTAGGCTCACTGCAACCTCTGCCTCCTGGGTTCATGTGGTTCTCCTGCCTCAGCCTCCCGAGTAGCTGGGACTACAGGTGTGCACCACCACACCCGGCTAATCTTTGAATTTTTTAGTAGAAACAGGGTTTCACCATATTGGCCAGGCTGGTCTCAAACTCCTGATCTTGTGATCTGCCTGCCTTGGCCTCTCAAAGTGCTGGGATTATAAGCATGAGCTGCTGTGCCCTGCCGAGTGTGGGTATTTTTAATCATTAGTTTCAAATCTACTTTAAAATAAAATGAGGATCCAAAAACCTGTGAGCTACCTCTCTAAAACCCAGGGCTCCACAAAACAGATGAAAACTGCTGGGCCCTGACTCCAACCTAACCCTAATCACCGCCTCGCTACACCCCCACAGGCTTTATGACAGCTTTCCCTGGCTGGACACACCTGGGTACTGCAGGGGGATGTCGATCTTGGGCCCAATGACGTAGTGGCCTTCCTCCAGGGTATGAGCTGTCACCGTGGTCCACTGGCGGCAGGAGTGGATGAGCAGGATGTCTCGCTCACTGACGCCCTCAGCGTACTCCCCTGGGAGGGGAGAGGAGGACAGAGGAGGAGGGGAAGGAAGACAGGACGTTAGCAGGGCAAAAAGGACAGGGTGACCTCCCCACCAAGACCATTCCCCCCACAGGGACAGCTCCCCATGATCCCTGTCCAGGTCAGCAAAGCTCAAGGGACAGGCGGGCTGCCAGCTGGGGCCTGGGGCTGTGGGTCTGGCTCTGAGCCTCTCAGGCTGTGACTCCCGACAGGGCCCCTCATTCATCAGTGGCTGGAATGCCTGCTGTCCCTAGCTCTGTGCTGGGGCAGGGAGCTCTCCATGGATAAGCCCAGACAGCCTCTGCCGCCAAGAGCCCTTAGATCCCTGAGGAGGTGTGCAGAGATGTGGCAGAACTAGGCAAGTTTGAGGCCCTGCCTGGAGCATGCCTGGGGACTTAGAGGGCAGCAGCAGGCTCTGGCTGGGGGTTGCAGTGCGGGGGCTGAAGGGAGACTTTAATGAGCAGATGATGCTAGAGAAGGGCCCTGTTGGGGCAGCAGAGAGGGCCCAGAGGGGACTGTCTCTTACAGGTCCCAGCTGTGAGAGCTCCCCAAGAACCACAGGTCGCTGGGGTCAGGAGAATGACAGGGCATAGAGCAGCTGATTACTGAGTCTCCCAAGGGCAGCCCTTCCTTTCTACCCACTGCCTTGTTCAGGGGACACTGAAGGAGATGGAGGGAGTCCCCAGAAACCCCAACCCCATCTCAGAGGGGTGAGATGTTGGAGGAGTTGGGAGAGCAGGTTTAAAAGGCAGGAGTGAGAGGCCCAGTCCTGGGGCCTGGGGGAAGCTGCTCTGGGGCAGAGGTGTTGGGAGTTGGCAGAGGTGTTAGGAGGGGTCTGGGCCTGGAGGCTCCAACCCCAGCAACGGTTTCCAGGGGAGCAGGAGGGGCAGCCCAGCTTCCAGGAGGCAGAAGAGGCCGAGTCCTGGCTGCAGCTGGTGGGGAGGGTGGGGGCGGGGAGCACCTCCTTCCTTGCTCCTTCAGGCACAACTTAGGAAATTTCTGCCAATCAAATGGGAAATGGTTTACTATGACGCTGTGGTTTCCATAAAGTGTGTACTTGGGGGGGGGGGTGTGTGGCAGGGTGGGGAACAGTTCAAGGGCTTGGCTCCCACTATGTGTGTGTTGGAGGTGTTGTCTGAGCCTTACTCTGCACATCCTCACCTCTGGGGGCACAGGAAGCTCTCCTCCAACTCTGCTCCCTGCTTTGAGAGCTGTCCTAGCTCCCAGCCCCATCTTCCACAGCCACACAGGCACACACCAGTAACCAGGGCTCACGACCACCAACAGCTGAACCACAATAGCCCACAGTGACAGATGCTTGTCACCGAAACGACACAACTCAGTCTCAGGCCAAGGGGCCCCTCCCAAATGCACAGGCACGCAGGCACCTACCCTTTAAGGCCATTCAATTTTGACCACATATTCACACTCTTAAGGTGACCCAGCCATAGCCACACACTGTCACACACAACAGATGGGGGTGGGGGGAGTGCCATCGCACCAGTTGTTCATTCACTTACCCATTCATTCATTTATTCAATCCATAATCTTTATTGGGCAAGGATACCCTTGTGGGTCTCAAGGAGCCCACAGCCAGGTGGGAAGACAATAAACTGGCCATTATAAGACAGGGCTGGCGCCAGGTGTTAGCCGAGCCCAAAGGAGGCCCTACCCAGACCGAGGAGCTCAGAAAGGGAAGATGCCAAAAAAGATATGTGGGAAGTGGCCGGAAGACCCCAGGGCAGCGTCCCCCATTGACAGGAGGACACAGTACTACACTTGGACCACCCAGCCGCGAGCCAGAGAACCAGACGCTGGCCGTCGGGCCGGGGCGCCGATGCTCCCCCTTGAGCCTGCTCCGGGGACAGCTGACGCCCACTGTGCCCACTCCTGGCCTCAGCCGGGAGGGGCTGCCGGCCCCGCAGGGAGGAGAGGAGCCTGCGGCTGCGGGCCCCATTAGCATTCAGGGAAGTGAGTGTGCCAACGCGGGCCAAACCCCTATTCTTCTCACACACAAAACTCCCGGCCTGGCTGCCAGCCCCGGCTCCCGCCCCTCCCCCAACCAAGCAGCCCTCCTCTCCCCCCAGAAGGTTCCCTCGATCCATGCAGCCTCCGACCGTCCCCTCTCGGGCCCCCAGGCGTAGTTCCATCAGCAGTGCGGCCGGGGACCCCAGGTTCTATTAAGAAGTGGGACAGGATTAGGGGGAGGACCGGGGGTTGGGGGTCACGCCAGGCGGCAGACCCGGCTCCCGCGGGCCTCTCCCGAAGGTGGCCTGCCCACCCCAGGACCCAAGGCTAATCCCCAAGACGCGAAAGGAGGTGCGAGAAGGGTCCCCAGAGGGGCGGAGCGGGACTGGTGGTGGTGGTAGTGGGAAGACGGAGTCTGGGTCCAGGGATGAGAGAGGACAGAGGTTAGAGGCTGGGGACAAAGGGAGCGAGGGGGCGCGGCTGGTGCCGGGGGCCCAGGGGCAGCGAGGGAAAGGGGGACACCGACGGGGCGGGAGCAGGGGCTGGGCCCCTTCCCGGACTCCAACTGGGCCGGAAAACTCTGACCCTGGCCCTGTCCCCAGAGTCTGTGCCTGTGCCTGTCCGCGGGGCCCAGGAGGAGGACCTGGCGGGTGGGCCCCGCGTCTCCCGAGAGGCGCGCCAGGAACCGCTCGGGGCCAGCGCTCGGGAGCTGGGAGGGCGCAGGAGCCGCACCCTCCTCACGATCCATCCCGCTGGCCGGTGCCTGGAGAGCCCGCAATTTCCCTGCGGACCCCGGTCCCCATCCCCAGCGACCCCGGTACCTGGCCCAAGGCAGGCGAGCGTGGGCAGGCGGCAGCGGCTGACGATGAGGTCGAGCGGGAAGGCGCCCATGCTCCAGCGCAGGCCGGCCAGCCCGGCCGCCAGCTTCTCCATGGCATGGGCGCCCCGGGGCCGCCGTCCCGGGGCCCCGACGGTCAGTCCCGCGCGGCCCAGGCTCCCGTGCCCGCCACCACCTCCGGGGGCCGCCGCGGTGCTCGCCGCCTGGCAGCCCCGCCGGGCCGCGGGCGTCACGTGGCCGGCCTTCCAGCGGGACGCCGACCCCGGCCCCGCCCCCGGGATCCGCCCCCTCCCGGGCCCCGCCCCCTGCTCTGTCCGCCTGGACCCGGACTCGCCCCTGGACCCTCGCTCCCGGACCCCCACCCCTAGCCCTGTCCGCCAGGCCCCGCCTCCTTCCTTGGACCCCCCGCCCCGCGCCCCCTTCTGGGACCCCCGGCCCCCTGACCCACGCTCCGTCAGCCCGCCCCCGCCACGCTCCCCGGGCCCGGGCTCTCCGCCAAGCCTTGCCTCCCCTCCGGCCAGCTCCCCCGCGCCCAGGTGACCGCGGCTGATGGAGGACCCCTGCGAAGGCGCCTGGAGGGACAAGGAAGACCCGAGCTGCATCTGCAGGGTCGGCGCGGGCTCGGCCTCTTACTCCTGGCTGGGCGTGTCCGAGCCCCGCCGCGCCCCCTCGTGCCGGCCTCCCGGAGGCCGCGCCCACCCGCCCCCGGTCGGGCACCGCCGCCCAAAGCTCAGGTTCTGAATTCCGCTCCTCCAGGAGCTTCATCACCTCCCGCTTCATGGAGCTGGGGCAGGCAGCCTTCTTAACCCGATTTTACTGATGAGCAAACTGAGGCGCAGAGGTCAGGTGGCAGCCAGGACTTCAACCCGGGTTTGACTCCAACCCTACTGCCCAATAGCACCCCGCAACGCCCCAGCATAGAGCACCATCCAGGTTCCCAGCGCCCCCTTAGCCGATGGCCCAGTGTCCCGGCGCTCCAGCAGTTCCGCAGCACGCGGTGTGGATTGGGTCCATTCAGTAGATGAGGAGGCTGAGGTTCCCGCGCATAGCGGGTGCTGCGGCCCCTCTCCGACCCTTACAAGAACCGCCCCCGTACCACCACCATCCCTTCTCTCTTTTCCCTTTCTTTTTTTGAGACAGGGTCTCCCTCTGTCACCACCTCTTTCACCTTGGTGATTGATAGAAGCCAGGATGGTCTCGATCATCTGACCTCGTGATCAACCTGCCTCCGCCTCCCAAAGTGCTGGGATTATAGGCATGAGCCACAGCGCCCGGCCTTCATTCACGTCTTTTAATTTGTCTTTCATTTTCTGCTCTCCTCACCTCTTCCTTCCAAACCCTTTGGACTCCAGCTCCGGGCTCCCTTTGGGACCCCCTTCCCAGAAGCTTCAATGGCCTCTGCCTCTCCCTCGCTGTCTGCGGCGCCCTCTGCAGGTAATCGGGGCATGGTGCGGGCCTGGCTGACCTGGGACGTGCAGCCACCAAATGGGGCTTAGCTCCTAGGCTGCTCCCTTACGGAGTCCATTGACCCCAGTCCTCAGCCTCTGTACCCCAGGGAAACCCCCACCAAGTATACACAAAACCCTCTCTTCTGAGGTGACTGATACTTGGCATCTTATGGCTTGGACCCCATGAGAAGTGGAAGCTGACAAGAGGAACACCACCTCTCACCGAGAATACACCTTTTATATCAGTGGTTCAATCTTCATCTGCTGCAGAGGAAAAAACTGAGACTCCAAGAACAGAAATGCTTTGCTCTAAGGTCACACGACAGGAAAGAGGCAGCGCTGTGACCAGAAGGCAGGACCCCTGCCTGCCCGCTTGACCAAGGCCCTTCCCCAGCCTGGCCCACACCTCAGCCCTCCCAGGTGACTTGGGTGGCCCAGATGGACTTGGCTGTCCTGGGTCTGTAGGGGTGGGGTGGGTTCTTTCCCAAGGAAGTGGGAAGGAGAAGCATAGCAGGAGGGGAAAAGAAAATAAAGTGAAAATATAGGAGTCTAAGAAGGGAATGGGCTGGGCGCAGTGGCTCACACCTGTAATCTCAACACTTTGGGAGGCCGAGGCAGGTGGATCACTTGAGGTCAGGAGTTTGAGACCTGCCTGGCCAACATGGTAAACTCCTGTCTCTACTAAAAATACAAAAATTAGCCAGGCAAAAAATTAGCCGGGCATGGTGGTGCTTATCTGTAATCCCAGCTATGTCTATAATCTCAGCTACTCGGGAAGCTGAGGCAGGAGAATTGCTTGAACCTGGGAGGTAGAGGTTGCAGTGAGCCGAGATCATGCCACTACACTCCAGCCTGGTGACAGAGCGAAACTCCATCTCATAAACAAAGAAAAGGAGGGAATGGAAGGTCTGAGATAGGAGGGTGAAGAGGCGGGAAGAAGCAAGTGAATGAGAAGGGACTGCCTTCGATGTGCTTTACTTTTCCTACCCTGTAGGGTCTCTCTTTAGGGTGACCGTGTGTCATCCTAAGTGGGAGATTTCGAGAGGGAAGAAGGTACTAACTGCCTCCCCACCCGGCTGGGACAACAGGCGCAGTTAGCCCAGGTTCCAAACAGCAGGTATAAACTGACACTGAGGCACATGGTCACCTTCTATCTGTGCCCTGGACAGAGATGCCGTATCTACGGTGGCTTCTTTTACTCAGCATGGCTGGCTTCCACAACTCCCAACCTCAGCTTCCAGCTCTACCCCTTCGCCCCCACAGCCACTTCCATCTTCACAATCACACTTGAGCCTGGTCCCCTTTTGTTTTCTATCCTGGCTGAGGACATCTCTTCTACCGTGGTTCCCCAACCTGGAAATCTCCCTAAACTTTATACCAAACTACTCACCAAGTCCTGGCAATTCCTCTTCCCCCAGGTGTTATGGAGCCCCAGCCCCCTCTTCCCAGGAGCTCCAGTCCCAGCCTGGCTTTGGTTCACAGTTCTCGGTCAGATCTTTTCTCCCCCAGGCACCCTGCCTATTTCACACCCAAACCCCAAAACCCTGGATTTTGGCTGAGTTGGCAACAACACTGGTGTAAGACGCCAGGCAGATTCACCTAACTAAATGGACCCATTTCCTCACTGCTGCAGAATGTTCCAGAGCCTTTCCAGGGCTTCTTAACTGTTGTCAGGTCTCCAGGGACCTGACACAAGTGTCCAGACACGTACATGCCTTGATTTGCTGAGACTCAGGAGCCCTGCAGGAAGGAACTCAGCTTCTCTTGGAGGCAGAAATGTTGAGAACTTTCCTTGGGCTTATATTGCAGGAAGGAGGGCCAAAAAGGCACCAAGAAGGAGAAAGATGCTGGGCAGAGAAGTCCAGGCTGCGTGGCTGGGTGTGGCCGTGGGATAGCCCGGGGCCTAGGTGCTGTGTGCATCTGGGGCTGTGCTTCCGGCTCCAGGAGAGTCTGCTGGGGAGAGAAAGGGAGAAGGAACAGAGGAAAGAGCCCAGCCAAGGAGATCCCGGCTCCTCTGCTGTGGTCTCCACTCTGACAGAACTGGCAGTAACAAGTAGAAGGTGGAGCCTGGCCCAGCACGGTGGCTCACACCTGTAATCCCAGCACTTTGGGAGTCCAAGGTGGGTGGATCACCTGTGGTCAGGAGTTTGAGACCAGCCTGGCAATGTGGTGAAAGCCCGTTTCTACAGAAAAATACAAAACTAGCCTGGGTGTGGTGGTGTGCATCTGTGGTCCCAGCTACTCGGGAAGTGGAGGCAGGAGGATCACTTGAGCCTGAGGTTCAACTTGGGAGGTTGAGGCTGCAGTGAGCCGTGATCATACCACTGCACTCCAGCCTGGGTGATAGGGCAAGACACTGTCTCAAAAAGAAAGAAGGTGGTGCCCTACTGGCTGGAGGGGAGGAAAGGAAAAAATAGGGAGGGGTCACAGCCCTATAGGAGGCCTACTGTGGCAGAGGCTGGCCAAGCTGCCCATGAGCAGAGCATAGAGGTCAATAGAGCAGAGGCAGGGAAAACTGCCCACAGCAGCTAGGGTTATTATTTATAAAGTACCCTGCCCCACCCCATCTAGAGGACAGATGGCCTTTTCTGGTCCAATGAACTGGATGAGGCCAGGGAACATTTAGAAAAGGACCTCCAAGAATTCTAGGTAAACTGTTTTTAACATTTTATTTCAGAACATTCTAAATGAAGACATAACTGGAGATAATAGCATGTGACTTCCCATGTGCTCATCTCCCAGCTTTAGCACCTACTGACCCATGGCCGATCTGATTTCTGTGTACCTGCTTACACCCCTTCCTCATTGAACTTAAAAAAGAAAAAGCTTATTTTTTTCCTTTTTCTCCCTCTATCACCCCATGTTGGAGTGTTAAAAACAGCTTTATTGAAATATAATTCACATATTATACAATTCACCCATCTAAAGTGTACCATTTAGTGTTTTTAGTATGCATCGTATCTTGCAAACATCATTACAATCCAGTTTTCTTTTTCTTTTTTTTTTTTGAAACAGTCTCACTATGTCGCCCAGGCTAGAGTACAATGGCACAATCTTGGCTCACTGCAACCTCCAGTTCTGGAGTTCAAGCGATTCTTAGGCCTCAGCCTTCTGGGTAGCTGGGACTACACATAGGCTTGTGCCACCACACCTGGCCAATTCTTTTTGGCATTTTTAGTAGAGATGGGGTTTCACCATGTTGGCCAGGCTAGTCTCAAACTCCTGTCCTCAATTGATCTGCCCACCTTGGCCTCTCAAAGTGCTGAGATTACAGATGTGAGCCACCACACACAGCCTACAATTTTCAAACATGTTCATCCCCCCATACCCATGAGCAGTCAACGCCTCTCATCACCCCTCCACTCAACCCTTAACAACCACTAATCTACTTTCTGTGACTGAAATTTGCTGATTCCATACATTTTCATGTAAATGGACTAATAGGCTTCTTTCACGTCAGTCTTCATGGTTCAACAGGTATCAGTATTTCATTCCTTTTTATTGCTGAGTAACATCCCATAATATGAATGTTTCACATTTTATTTTTTCATTTAGCAATTGGGATGGAATTTGGATTATTTCTATTTTGGGGGATGTCATGAATAATGCTGCTATGAATATTTATGTACAAGTTTTTGTGTGGACATACGTTTTCATTTCTCTACCTAGGGGTGGAATTGCTGGATTGTAGAGTAAATCTATGTTTAACTTATTGAGGAATTGCCAGATTGTTTTCCAAAGTGGCTGTGTCATTTAACATTTCCCACCAGCACTGTATGACAGTTCCAATTTCCAATTTCTCCGCAACACTTGTTATTGTCCGTCTTTTTGATTGTAGTTGGCCTAGTGAGTATGAATTGACATTTCATCGTGGTTTTGATTTGCATTTTCCCTAATGACTAATGATTCTCGGTATCTTTCCATGTATTTATTGGACATTTTTATATCTTGTTTGAAGAAATGTTTATTCTAATCCCTTGCGCATAGATTCATTCCCAGCTTCAGCACTACACACAAAAAAAATATACACACACAAAGTCCTTTGCCATTTTTAAATAGGGTTATTTGTCTTTTTATTGTCGAGTTGCAAGAGTTCTTTATATATTCTGGATAAGTCCTTTATCAGAGATTTCATTTTCAAATATTTTCTTCTGTTCTGTGGGCAGTTTTCACTTGTTATTGTTTTCAGCACAACTTTTTTTATTATGATGCAGTCCAATTTATCTATTTTTTTCTTATGTTTGTGCTTGTGGTGTCATATCTAGTCATATCTAAGAAACCACTGTCTAACCCAAGGTTACAGGGAGTTACTCCTATGTTTTCCTCTAAGAGTGATACAGTTGTAGCTCTTACATTTAGATCTACAGTCCATATGGAGTGAGGTAGGAGTCCATCCCAGCACCATTTGTTGAAGAGACTATTCTTTTGTCCGTTTAATTGTCTCAGTCATAAATGTCATCATAGAACTTTGAAAAATATCTTAGATATTTTATTTTATTTATAAATATTTCTTTTTATTTTTTAAAAGAGAGATTCTTACTATACTTTCCAGGCTGGTCTTGAACTCCTGAGCTCAAACAATCTGCCTAAGTGGGTGGGACTACAGGCTTGGGCCACTGAGCCCAGTATTTTATTTGTAAATGTCTCTACATCTACCTCTAAAGATAAGATATAAACTCTTTTTTTTTTTTAATGATGTCTTGCTATTTTGCCAGGCTAGGCTGGAACTTGAGACCCTCCTACCTCAGCTTACTGAGTTGCTAGAGCTACAGGCATGGGCCACCATGCCCAGCTTAGAAACTTTTGTCATTTTTTACACTATAACCATAATAATGTTTCACAACTAAAAACCTAACAATCAGTCAGGCATAGGCATAGTGGCTAATGCCTGTAATCCCACCACTTTGGGAGGCTGAGGCAGGTGGATCGCGTAAGCCCAGGAGTTTGAGACCAGCCTCGGCAACATGATGACACTCTATCTCTAGAAAAAAACGCAAAAATTAGCTGGGCGTGGTAGTGCCTGCCTATAGTCTCAGCTACTTGGCAGGTTGAGGTGGGAGGATCACCTGAGCCTGGGAGGTCTTGGCGGCAGTGAGCCATGATTGTGCCACTGCACTCCAGCCTGGGCAACAGAGTGAGACCCGGTATCATAAAACAAACAAACAACAGTCTAATTCCCAAAGATAAATCAGATTCCTCTCTCAGTGTGCATATCACACCACTGCCATAACACTTACTATGCTGCATTATAGTCATTTACTTCTATACACCTCCCCAGACACCATGTGTGTCCCTGTGGGGGAATAGATATATATCTATTCCAAATTGATTCCCTACAGGGACTAACATGGTGCCTGGCTAACCGCAGGCATTAACAGATGAGGCAAAGTGGCCTATGACTGGAAGGATGATTGGCTGTGCAAATTACTTGCCCAGTGGTGGCAAAGGCTAATTGTCAGGCTGGGCACGGTGGCTCATGTCTGTAATCCCAGTACTTTGGGATGCTGAATCAGGTGGATTGTTTGAACCTAGGAGTTCGAGATCAGCCTGGCCAATGTGATGAAACCCCATCTCTACTAAAAATACAAAAATTAGTTGGGTATGGTGCCTCCAGCCTGTAATCCCAGCTACTCAGGAGGCTGAGGCACAAGAATTGCTTGAACCTGGGAGGCAGAGGTTGTGGTGCTGAGATCATACCAGTGCAGTCCAGCCTGGGTGACAGAGTGAGACTCTGTCTCAAATAAATAAATAAACATTTAAGAAATTCTTTAAAAGCTAATTGTCAAAATTTCAGGAATTTTGCAAGTAGATTACTAAAGACAGCCATAAATTATAAAAATTTATGGGCTGTGAGATCCAGTGCTACCATTCTTTCTTTTTCCCTTTTTTTTGAAACAGAATCTCGCTCTGTTTCCCAGGCAAACAAAGCCTTGGCTCACTGCAGCCTCGACCTCGATCTCAAGTGATCCTCCCAAGTAACTGGACTACAGGCTTGCAACACCACACTTGACTAGTGTGTATATATATATATATATATATATGACACAACCATAATCAATATACATATATATATGACACAACCATAATCAATATTTGACTCCTCACTTCCTCATTATTTTATTCTATTCCATTCTATTCTTTCTTTCTTTTTGAGACAGTGTCTTGCTGTGTTGCCCAGGCTGGAGCGCAGTGGCCCAATCATGGCTCACTGCAGCCTTGACCTCCTGGGCTCAATCAATCCTCCCACCTCAGCCTCCCAAAGTGCTGGGATTATAGCTGGGCTACCATGCCAGGCCCATTTTACTATTTTCTATGCTCTTGAGGTTATTTATGTCATCATACCTGCATAGTAGAAAAACTATGTAATGTTGTGCTGTTATGCATTTCTTTCCAACTCTGTGTCCAGGGATAGCATGTTAATAGCTTGAAATTGACTATGGTGGGAGTATTTACACCACAGAAATTGGCAAATTTCATGAATCGGGACTTTTTTTTTTCCTGGAGTGTCGTTGTAAAACATTTCCCAGCACATCACTGTCTCTCATTGTAAAACAGGAATTAAAAGAGCACTCATGGCAGGATACAGTGGCTCATGCCTGTAATCCTGGCACTTTGGGAGGCCAAGGCAGGTGGATCGCTTGAGCTCAGGAGTTCCAGACCAGCCTGGGCAACATAGACCCCATCTCTAAAAAAAAATGTATATATGTATATGTGTATATATATATATATACACACACACTAGTCAAGTGTGATGTTGCAAGCCTGTAGTCCAGTTACTTGGGAGGATCACTTGAGATCGAGGTCGAGGCTGCAGTGAGCCAAGGCTTTGTTTGCCTGGGAAACAGAGCGAGATTCTGTTTCAAAAAAAGGGAAAAAGAAAGAATGGTAGCACTGGGTCTCACAGCCCAGCTGTTCCCCACTAGGGCAAAAGCTTGTTGGGCAGAGTCCCTGGGAAACAGGGGTCAAGATGGTCCTCCACAGCAGGGCACAGCCAGCTGGCCTCCTCAAAGGTCACCCGGGGAGGTGACCACTGTGTCCTCATTCACCCTAAGTTTCTTTGCTAAGAGAAAGTCTTTCACTACATCTTTATTTCAAATGTAGGCATTTATTACTTGCACCTAACATACATAATGTTTTGATTTATTTGGAGCTGTCTTTCCTTTCATTCACAATCACTAAGTAATTTCCATGGATACAGTTTCAACATTTTGTTCAAACTGTGTTTTCTATTCTCCTTCAGGTTCTCTTTTGCAAGATTAGGATCAGACAGTGTATGGGGTATATGATTGAGGTAATTATTTACCCCACTGAGCGACTCTGGCTGGGCATTGTACAGACTCAGTATTGTGACTGTGTCCTCAGATGGCTGTCAGCTGATGTCCTCGGGTTGGCAGCAGGGTTTGTAGTTACAATCCCATGGCAGTTGCCTGAAATGGGCAACAGAAATAGGTTCCAGTTATATAAGGAATCAGTATGTCAGCTCCTAGGACTTGCTGCCACCTTCAAAACGTCAGGTCTTAAATCTGGAGAAGGAGGTCAGACCATGCTTTTGAAGCCATTAATATTATCCAAATCTATTATTTTTAAGCAAATAATGTATGTTTAGCCAAAACAAAAAAAAATTGACTCAAAATACTATTTTAAACTTAAGGGGAAAAGTCATAAATGATAATGTTTCATTATATTCACTACTCTATATTTTTATTTATTTTAACTTAGAAACAAGGCTCACTATGTTGCTCAGGCTGACCTTGAACTCCTGGTCTCAAACAATCTTCCTGCCTCGACCTCCCAAGTAGCTGAGACTACAGGTGCTCACTACTGCACCTGGCTCATTCTATATTTTCAGTTTTGTAAAATTTGTTTTAATTAAGCTCTGTAATCACTAAGATGTTTTTGCTTGTTTGCAATTTCAGCCATCAAGGATATTTTATTTTGGAAGTTTCTCTGTATTACATAGGTATTATATTAACTTTCTTCCTTCCCTACTCCTCCCTCCAAAATCCAGAAAAAAAAATCCAACAACTTAATGTATAAAAATCTTATATCTAATTTCTCTAAAGTCTTAGGTTAAGAAAACGTAAGTGACATTCCTCCTTTTTGAGACTTCTACTTTTTAAAGAGAATTCATAGTCTGTCCTTATGCTCACTCCAGATTTCTCCTCTTCTCTGGGACAAAGATGTTCAATACTTCCGCTTCCTTTTAATAAATTCATTTTTTGATTATTACACATTATTATTCGCCACTTCCTGGAAACTTGATTGTTGAATGTATTTCTCATTTGGCAAAAGTTCAGTGTGGCTTTGTGTGGGATGTCTGTCAGAAACAGCAGTGTTGATGATCTGGTTTTTGTGGGTTGGTTGGTTTGTTTATTTTTGATATGGAGTCTTGCTCTGTCCCCCAGGCTGGAGTGCAGTGGCTCCATCTCCGCTCACTGCAACCTCTGCCTCCCAGGTTCAAGTGATTCTCCAGCCTCAGCCTTTCCAATAGCTCAAACTACAGGCATGCACCACTACATCTAGCTAATTTTGGTATTTTTAGTAGAGACTGGCTTACACCATGTTAACCAGGCTTGTCTCAAACTCCTGACTTCAGGTGATCTGCCTGCCTTGGCCTCCCAAAGTGCTGGGATTACAGGCATGAACTACCACACCCAGCTGATGTTCTGTTTTTGTTTTTTATCTTTCTTTCTTTCTTTCTTTCTTTTTTTC